AGTCTCTGCCTTAAGAGACCAGAAACTGTCCTAGATTGTGAGGCGAGTCATATGAGAGGTTCAAATGAAGAACGTTTAGAGTTCTGTGGATAAAGATATTATTAGGAAAGTTGTAGAAAATGAGGTAGTTGAGCCTGGGCGTTGAATTTTCAACTCTGTTCTCAGCTGCTCTCTTTGTGGTTTGAATGTGCTTTTGCAAAAATTAACTAGCACCTACAGTGGGAGGATGGGATCATGGCTTCTACTTTCATAGAGGGAGCAAATCTTCTATCTAGATGGCCCAGCTTGAATTCACCTGCACACATCACTATTGGTGGTAATGTGAGTTGCTAGATAGGTTATCTAAATATGTTTGCATGTTTTTCTTGACCTGCACCTCTCTCTGCCTCCATTGTATTCTCCGCAGGCCTATTATTTTCCTCTAATTCTTGACACCATATGACAAAGGCCTCTAATTTATCCTATTGGCCAACCACTGCTTTCTTACCCCCACCCCCACCCCAGTGTTGCATAACCTTTCCTCTTGGCATAAACTTCTTGGTTTTCCAGCGCAGATTCCCTCCTCTCAGAAAAGAAAAGTGGGAGGGCAGAAATCTGGGAGAGAGATAGAAACCAATCTCATTTTCCTTCTTATTTTTTAAGGTTGGTGGATAATAGGCTGTAGACACCCTGGCTCGCTCAGTTCCTCAAACTTAGATCTTTCTCTGTTGTACCATTCTGGGCCTTCCTTGTCTTTATAAAGTAACCTCCTGCTCTAAGGTCCCTATGTACTGTTTCTCCCATTTGTCTTCTCTGTCAAACCTGTTGGCAGTCCTCTCTGCACAATTCCAGTATGCCCAAATTTCATTTACCACTCTTTAGTTAAATAACACCAGTTCCCCAACAACACAGTTCAATTTTCAGTTATGGCAATATATTGTGAATAACTGCATAACTTCTCTGCCAGCTGTTTAGTCCGCAAATCAGTATTAAATAACAGATGGGCATCGTGAGCATAACCAGTCACATCGCGTCTCTCCGAGTCTGTGAATGGGTGGTGACTGCACGTCTGTTGTTCATTTCACCCTCAGACAGCGAGCGTGTGGTCGTGTTGCCTCCTCATCTTCCAGTATGAGCCCATGTGACATATTAGAGAAATGGACAATGGAAAGAGGGACTTAGTCAACAAAGATGAGTTGCCAAAAGTGAAATTGACTGTGATTAGAAAGATTTGAAAATGATGACAGCGAAGTGAACCTAGGCCTACATGAAGCTGTGGTACAAAGCATGTTGAAAAAGTCCTATAGAGGGCCAGCACGGTAGTGTAGTGGTTAAGTCCATGCGCTCCGCTTCGGCAGCCCAGGGTTCACAGGTTCAGATCCTGGGCACAACCTACACACCACTCATCAAGCCTTGCTATGGTGGCATCCCACGTACCAAGTAGAGGAAGATTGGCACAGATGTTAGATGAGTGACAATCTCCCTCAAGCAAAAAGAGGAAGATTGGCAACAGATGTTAGTTCAGGACCAATCTTCCTCACCAAAAAAAAAAAAAAAAAATTCCTGTGAGTATAAAAACCAAAGTTAAGTTGCTTCAACATCTTTTAATTTAAATAAGAAAGCTGCTTATGGTTTAAATGGAGCATTTACTTCTACTTTGGATTGAAGACTGTAAAAAACAGAACAAAACGCTTCCATCAGTTTGGCTAACATTCAGGCCAAAGTATTGAAGTTAGTTGCCTCATTGAAAGAAAACAATAATAAAGAGATTGAAGAACTTTACTGCCGGTAAAAGATGGTGTCATTGTTTCAGAAGCCATCATAAGTTGACTAATGTTAAGCTGTCTGGGGAGACTGCTAGTGTGGATAAGAATACTGCTATGAAATTTATACCCAGATTCCAAAGATTAGATGAGGCGGGTGTTATGATGGTTGTCAAGGAAGGCAGCCCCATCAAGAACTTACAGAGCAAAAGATGTAGGATCATGAAGTGATCATAAAGGAGATAAAGATAGATAAACTCTCGTATTAGGAGGCAACACAGAGAGTGACTTTAAAACCTATGCTTATCTGGCCAGTTAACTGTGACCAAGGAATTGGGGTCAAGAAAATACAAATGTGGGTGCCTGGGTACAATGCTGGGGGTAAGAGGAAGAGGGGCTGTTGGTTAAGAGTTTCTGCCTTAAGCTTAAATGTGATTGCACGTGTTGGGGGGCAAAAATGGGGTATGTCATCGTCAGTTTAGAAAATGACATTTTGCTAGGGAGAGAGCAGCTTAGAAATGATTATTCTGATCCCTTGCTTTGTGAGACTTAGGCTTAATATTCAGAAGTTAAATGAAGATAGTACATTGTTTCAGGATAAAGTGATAAGAGATGTTTTTAAGAAACATATGAAAACTTGCGTTCTATGAATTTGGTTTTTGCTTTCTCGCCACACTCCTCCAGCCCCTTTGTGTAATGGATATCTATTTACTTTTCTAAAAATTTCTTGATGGGAGGACAGGGATTAGCAAGACTGGTTTTTTCTGATTATTTTGTAGCCTTGTTTATAGCAAAATTTAAGTGTGTAAAAATAAATTCAAGTAGTAAATTAGGCACTTCGTTGTCTAAATAAACACCTCTAAATAAACACCTTTAAACACCCTAGAAAAGCAGAGTACATATATTTATAGCTAGAAGAGCTTGAATTCGTGATTCATAGCTTGACTTACTTTTAGGAAAAGTAATTTGCAATTATTCTGTTAACTCTTTGGTGAAAACAGGAAGTTAAGAAATTTTGTTTACTTTTGCATTAGCTTAAAAAGTTATTACCTTTTAAGTATGAAAATAATATATGTTCATTGTAGAAAACTTGCAAAATATACGATAGCATAGGCTATTTAAAAATGACTGTCCTCTGGACTGCTGCGAGCTGCTCTTCATTCGGGGGTGTCCTCCCGGTGGTCTTAGCCTCTCGTGCTGCTCTGACGGGCTGCTGCACTGTGGTTCCTCATAGTCCACGCCTAGCACGTGGTAGACAACTCGTGAAACCCACCTTCCCTGGAGTCATTACTGTTAAAAATTCTGGTGAATGGGGGCCAGCCCCGTGCCCGAGTAGTTAAGTTCACACACTCTGCTTTGGCAGCCCAGGGTTTCGCCGGTTCAGATCCTGGGTGTGGACATGGCACTGCTCCCACATAGCACAACCAGAAGGACCTACAACTAGAATATACAACTATGTCCTGGAGGGGTTTGGGGAGAAGAAGAAGAAGAAAAAAGATTGGCAACAGATGTTAGCTCAGGGCCAATCTTTAAAAGAAAAAATTCTGGTGACTGGAAGTTTTTTTTCTATGTATTACAACTTTTCCCACCTTTAATATTCTATCATGAACATTTGCCTGTGAAAATGAAATAGGTTGTTTTCTCCTTTTGTGAATTGCCTCCTTAAGGTCTTTGCCCTTTTGCTGCGGGCGTCTATCGTGTATTAGAATTTGCAGTCACTCTCTATTAGCTCCCTTCTTTGATTCTACAAACTCTTACACATATACCTCATATCAGGAACAGAACAAAGGAAAAGCTGACTGCGTCTCCTCATTGTTAGTAGGAAAACGTACTCATGCCTTTATGAGTCAGAGGGGGCAGGATAAACTTTTGGTAAGTGATGTGATGTAATGCACTCCTTGGACTGGAAGTTAGGAAGGTGCCTGCTGGACTAGAGACTGCCCAAAGCAAAGTCCTGTTGGTACTGATGTTGGCGTTGGGCACTCACAAACATAGCTGCTGGAAGTACCTTGTTGGCGTCAGCAGGATTTACCAGGCTTGATGTTGCACCTTAACTGCCTTCATCTTAGATGTGCCAGGCAAGGATCCAAGCCTCACTTCAATTGAAGTAAATATTTCCAAGGTCCAGGTGATTAATTTTAAAAATCACACTGATTTTGTGGTCAGAAGCTTCGTGATTTGACTCTAAGGTGTGGCTGCATCGACAAGTGATTAGAACATTCCTGTGCAGCCCTTCGTGGGAAGGGGAAGAGGCAGTGAAAGTGCAGTTGTGTGAAGTCTGATCCCAGTCCGCTGATTTGTTAGGAGTAACTCAGGCGTTTTACTCTTGTAGTTTGTAGAGTTACTCAGAGTTTGTGTCCCTCCTCAGTTCACGTTCCAGTGGTCCTTGGTGAGTGGGATTAGGTGGGGAATATTTGTCCAAAAAAGGTCAAATTAAAGAAGAATATGACACTAACAGCTTCTACATCTTAATATGTTTAAAGAAATAAAGTAATGCTTCCTTATTCCTTGGTTGCGACATTGGTTTTAGCAGCTGGCTGGTAGACTTTTCGGTGCTCACCCGAACTGGTAGTCCCAGCTCAAGATTGCTTATTCCAGCTGTTTGTACTGTAGAGGCCCGAGTTGCTGTACTTTGGATTGTTCAAAACTGAGTATTGTTCCTTTTCTCGTTAGCACTCTGTTTGTACAAATCTTTTTGGCACCATGTGGTACACTATGATATTTACATAGTTTTATCTACCTAATTAGACTGAAAGCACCTTGAGGGTACTTGAGGGTAAATACCTATGTTTACTTCTTTTAATCCCAAAGTGAGTAGCGCAGTCTCGCACCTAACAAAAGTTTAAAAATAGGTGGTTCCCCTTCACAATCTTGTGATTCATTTGTAAACATGCCTGTTTAACAAGAAAAGAGTGCTGGATATGGGCGATTGAGTAGTGACTCTCATGGCTGACACCTGCTTCAAAGTGTGGTCTTGGACCATTCCAGATGTATAATGTGACTCCTCAGAGTCGGTCTTGTCTTGGTGTAAAACCTTACTAAATATGTAGTTGTCATCTGACATATGCTGCTTTTCTTTCTTTTTCACTGGCTGAAGGGCCTCTTTGGGTGTAGTAGTTTTCTTGAGATCATGTTACCACTGACTTCCACAAGGTGGCAGACAAACCCTTCTTTTGTGTTACTAGTCTTCAAACAATTTTTCACATACTTTGCCTGTGCTCTTAATTACTGTTAAAATCTTTCTTGCTTTTTCTGTAGGTGGGCAGTGTCAAACCGAGAAATGCTCATAGCCCAAAACAGCTCCTTGGAATTTAAGCTACACAGACTGTATTTTATTAGCTTGTTGATGGGTGGAACTACAAATCAGCGAGAGGCATTACAATATGCTAAAAATTTTCAGCCATTTGCCCTAAATCATCAGAAAGGTGAGTCTGGAGTCAGATGTTTTTAATGTTTGGAATTTCCAGGCCCGTAGCCTCCACTGGAATTTAAGTTTATTTTAACTAGGTCTAATACATATTTGCTAACCAACTAAAACAATTGTAGATGATAATCACTTATAGAAAAAGCTCTGATTGGCCCTAGAACAAAAGTAAAACATTAAATCCTCTTAAATGAAAAGTCTGAAGGAGACATTGCATTTTTGGCGATTCCTTACTAAGCTAAGAGGAGACACGAGAAAGAGCCAGGTAGGCACTTGCTCCTCGCCACCCCCACCCTGCTGCTGTTATTGCCATGACAAAGTGTCTGAGGGTGCACCACTGTGGCAGAAGTTAACCCCCAGTGTCCCTGTGGGAGTACTGGCCTGTTCTACAGCCAGAGATATGTGATGACCCCATTTATAGATAATTGTTACTGCTCTAGATAATGGTAATTGTACTATGTTGTGTATAAGAATAAAATGACATGAAGTTCAATATTTAGTGCTTTCCTTCTCTTCCCCTTTCTCTCTGTGCTGTTTCTTTAATTTAGGGTGAAGGGAGAAACCAAACTTAAGGACAAGAATTTTAAAACACTCTGTTAATAAATTAATTTAGGCTATGTCAGTTGGGAGAATTCTTGCCTTTCTCCCCCTGTTGCCTGTAAGCCGGCTCTGTTTCAAGTGTGATCATTCACACCTCCGAATTGCTGTTGCTTTTGTTTAGACATTCAGGTTTTGATGGGAAGCCTTGTGTACCTGAGACAAGGGATTGAGAACTCACCATATGTTCACCTACTTGATGCAAACCAGTGGGCTGACATCTGTGACATCTTTACACGGGATGCCTGTGCCCTCCTGGGGCTCTCCGTGGAGTCCCCTCTCAGTGTCAGGTATGGAAATTTGTCGTGTCTGTTACTGAAATATGTGCTGCATTCGTCAGTTCTTATTGATTTGTTGTCTAGTTCTTGATATTAAAGCCAAGAGAACATTTGTCTTTCTGAGGAGAGAGTGGTTGGTATTTCAAGACTTGTCACAGTTGGCAGTGAAGCAGTTTTAGAGCAGTGATTCTCAAAGTGTGGTCTGTGAACCTCTGGCCGTTCCTCTGTGAAAGAGAGCCTTTCCACTGTGTTGACATTTGCACAGATGGTGCAAAAGAGTGGTGGGTTAAACTGCTTGAGCCTTAGCACAGATCAGGGCAGTGTCCCAAACTCCACAAGGACTTGCTGTGTCCCTCACCACCACATACTTGCAGTTCAAGACGTACTAGTTTTACTTAAGAATGTTTTTGACTGAACATTAAAAATTATTAGTTTTCGTAAGTCTTGACCTCTGAGTACACATCTTTTTTATATTCTGTGTGACAAATTGGGACGTTCACGTAAAGCACTTCAGCTTCATGCTTTGTAAGCCATGTAAGATGGTTGTCTCAAGAAAACGCACCTGTATGTTGAGTTATGAGCTAATAAACTCAGAGCTGCTTTTTTCATGAAACACAGTTTTTACTTAAAAGAATCCACTGCAGTTACTCACACTTAGGTTTTTGGCAGGCGTTTTTTCAAATGAATGAAGTGAACCTGTCGTGTAAGGATAATAACTGACGTTTTGCCACAATGGTAAAATTCAAGATTTTAAGGTAAAATGGAAATTTTGGAAAACTTGAACCTGCTATTATGGGCTTGACAGCTTCCTGATACTTAAAGATTTTTCTGATGAGATTGGTGATATTAATGAATTGTATTTTTTTGATGCTTTAAAATGAAATGTGTGGATACTAGAAGATTCAGTGTGCTATTACAAAATCATGCATGGGTAAAAGATTCATTCAAAGTATGAGACAGACCATTGGATCTTAATGTAGAAGGGTACAAAAAATTCAATGGAAGGATTCAGACTACACTTTGCAACTAACCTTTAAGAAGCTACTACTTGTTGAGTGGTGGTATGGCATTAAATGAGAATATCACAATTATCTGAAAAGACAATTAAATTACTACGTATCTGTGTGAAGCTAGGTTTTTTTCATTTGCTTCAACCAAAAAGAACACATCGCAACAGATTGAATGTAGGGGAAGATATAAGAACCCAGTTGTCTTCTATTAAGCCAGGCATTAAAGAGATCTGTAAAAATTTAAAGTAATGCCGCTCTCCTTTCAAATTTATTTCTAGTTGGGAAAATATAGCTATTTTTATAAGAATGTTATTTATGATAACATGTAATATATTTATTTTAAATAAATCAATATTTTAAAAATTTCTCGGTTTTAATTTCTAATACAATGATGATGGATACCACTCACAAAAACAAATGCTCTTTGAGATCTTTAATATTTAAGGATGTAAATGGGTCCTGAAACCAAAAAGTTTAAGAACCTGTTTTAAGAAAATAACTTGTTTAGCTCTTCTGTTCATTTAACTTCTCAAGTGTTTTGAATCCCTGCTGTGTGCCAGGCATTGTGTGGATGCAAAGATGGATGAGGTACAGTCTGCGTTCTGTAGCGTGTCCCGTCTGAGTGTAGCAGACACTCATGCAATTAACTATAAGGAATGGCCAGGCTGCAGGTCAGCTTCTCTGGGGAACAGGCTCTGAAATGGATGGAGATTGACATACAGGAAGTTTATTGGGATCAGCCCCTGTAGGGGAATGAAAACAGCAGGATTAGCTGGAGGGGAAAGTTGGAATGTGGTGCAGTCTCACCAAAGGCCTCAGCCTATCCCTGAGGAGCTCTGGAGGTCCAGTGGGCCTGTGGCGTTGTCTCAGATTGGGCAACAGGGCTGGGCTTTTCTATCTTCACATGGGGCAGTCATCAGATGTGAGCCTGGTCAGGTGGCTTCCTTCAGCTGAAGACGGTCCTGAAGGGGGACTCAGCTGACAATTGACTGCCAGTACTTCTGCCCTGGACGGGGTGACCAGATCTAGAAGGAACCGTGCAGGAAAATGTTTCAGAACATCATTAATGTTAGGAATGTCATTAATGACTGATATGCAGAGCCCATTAAATCTAGGGGTTTTGTAAATTTAAAACTTTTGTGTGTGTGTGGTGGTAATTTAGCAAAGCAGAGGGCTCTGTGCCCTGTCCATTGGCGTGGGCCCTCTGCACATGGAGTATAGAGGAAGTGACATTTCCTAGGACCAAACTGTGACACCTGGCTTGGCAGTGACATTTCCTCTTCTGCTCTCCCAGTTTCTCAGCAGGTTGTGTGGCGCTGCCGGCTTTAATCAATATCAAAGCTGTGATTGAACAGAGGCAGTGCACTGGAGTTTGGAACCAGAAAGATGAATTACCCGTGAGTTGCATTTTCTATTGATTATTACCTTTCCTGCCATTAGAAGAACTTAGATGTTAAGGATTTTAAATGCCTATCTTGCCTTTTAACCAGGGAACGTTACTGTAGCTGTTCAGCAGCAATTCTTTTCTGTCTCTGTAGACATGGTTAAATAATAGAAATGGGGAGCTGGTACATTTTGGAGGCACTGGAGGAGTTTTCTTAAAATTGTGACTTAGACTGGCAGTGAAAGCTGATGAAGGAAAGCATCGGAAGTGGAGAGGGTGGTTCTGCTGTGCATGCGGTATGCTTTGCAGTCGACAAACCACTCACACTCTGCTTTTTTAAAAATATAAAAGCAGTGACTCAGTTTGATTGGATTTAGTTTTGTCTTAAGCCTTGATATTTATGAGATCATAGGTTTGTGCTGTGTTGTCCCTGTGACACCTGCAGTCATCAGTGGCCTCCAGTACTGTGTGTCCACTGCTGTTGTGGAACAGGTGACGGTTTTAAACATCAGCCCCAATCATTTGCCAACTCTATAACTTCACTAAGCAGTAGTTTGTCAGTGTCTAAATTGGGGGCCATCCTTCTCTTTATGGGGCTGTTAAAGGCTAGAGATAATGTAGGTGTGCTTAGAATAATATGGGACATATAGTAGGTACTCAGGTTTTGCTGCCATGGTAGTTATGACATGAAGTAACAAAGGTCATTATATGTGTGTTTCCACCAGGCCTCTGACAATATGGAGTTATCATTCTTATCATGGTCATGTCACAGACTCTTAAAGAGCTAAAATGTGCATTTGGCTTTTGCCTCTTTTCTGCCACACCTGCGCACAGGTTTATCTGCAGTTACCTTGTTCTTCCAGCTGGTAGCTCGGTCGGTTGCTTGCCCTGGCTTCTCCTCAGAGATCTGTTTTGATTAAAGGCACAGGTGCATTCCCAATCCTGAGTGTGGTCAGGACACAGCAGCACCCCCGCTTGACTGCTGCTCATCTGAGCAAGTGAAAAGGACGTGAGCCTTCACGTGCTTTGCCGAGGCGGGTGCCTGCAAGAAAATGGCAGTTTTGCAGTTATGTTGTTACATCTCTGACACTTGCCACCGGCATGGAGTCTACTGAAATCTGAATTACTATGCCTTAGGTTCACTATACTAAAAGTCTGTGTGTCAGGATAAAAAAGCAGTTGGAGGTAATCATCTGGCCATTTTTTTTCCTCAAGATTATTGTTAATACTTTGTCAACTTTCTTGAAAGAGTCTAGGTAATAGACTTTTATATTGATAGCCATTTTAGATTTAGAAGGAAAGAAAACAGAAAGAACTGGCGACTGTGGAGCCTCTGTCATGCGCCAGCTGCCTCGCTAGGTGATTTCATAGCTTTTGCTTGTTTTCTTCGCTGCAAGCTCAGATGAGCTTCGGATCTACAGATTGTGAAAGGTCCTGCTGAGCTTTAGCTTAAAGCCTTTGTTTCGGGGTTTCTTTGGACCATTACACACAAAACGTGGGAAACTCAGATCTGAAGCTGACACAGAAGTAAACCACATTTAGTCTGCCTTTAAAGGATTATCACACTGAATTGTATCACCAGCTAAGTGTGCCACACAACAGTCAGGATTTCTGGTGGGTTTTGCTCTTAGGTATATCCTGACGCATTTTCACAAGTGTTTGACTTCTAGAGTGTTCCCTTGCCTTTGGCTCTCACTCTTAGACATCAGAATTTGTTTGAAAAGTAGGATTATAAATAATTTTGAAGGTTAATTTAAAATTATGAAGTAATACTTGAGCTAGAAGAGTGCTGTAAAAGTTATATTCAGATGAGTAGATTTGATCAGTGTTCTTTGCCACACAGTGCGTATTAACATGTGGAGGGTTCTTGAGGCATAACTCGAGCCGTTGTACTTTTTTTGAGCAGATTGAAGTGGACCTTGGTAAGAAGTGCTGGTATCACTCTATATTTGCCTGTCCTATTCTTCGTCAGCAAACGACAGATAACAATCCACCCATGAAATTGGTCTGTGGTCATATTATATCAAGAGATGCCCTGAACAAAATGTTTAATGGTAGCAAGTAAGTGTCTGTCTTTTTAAATGTTAATAAAAAAATTTTCTTTTGGAACTGAGTGGGAGGATAAGAAGTAATGAGGGTAAATAAATGTAGCTAGAATTTAGAAATAGATTTCATTACTTCTCATTTCACATAGTGTATGGTATCTGCATTTTTGTCATTCTTTTTAATTAGTTCATAAATTTGATGATTAGATTTATAAGCATGATCTTTAAATTTTAACTTTTTGGGAAGGCAATGTATTGTTCCCGCCCCCACCACCCTTTTTACACAAATGGTATCATACTGTATACTGTTCTGAACTTTGCTTTTTTCACTTAGTGTTAATATCTTGGAGATCTTTTATATGCTACAGAAAGAGCCCTCATTCTTTTTTAAAGCTGCAGAGTATTCTACCATATGGAAATATGATAAATTATTTAACCAGTTCCCTATTGATGAGCATTTAATTTTTTGTTGCTGTAAAGTGAATTACTTTATATGTGATTTAAGTTCATAGCATTAGAATTGCTAATTCAAAGGATATATACATTTATAACTTTTGTATATAATGAGCCCAACTTTTAAAGTCTAAAAAGCTTATTTCCAGCTTAGGCAGCTAGAAAATTTTTCATTGGAGTTCATTTCAGACCCATTATGGTAAAGGCTTTCTTTTAAGAGAAGGCTTTGGCATGTAACGAAGCTGTTCGTGCCCTTCCCAGGCCATGCACAACCCTGGTAGTGCAGATTGGTGGTGACTAGCAGCCAGCTCTCCGTCCTGGTTTGGCCCATGCTGGTTTCATGTGCCACGGCAAGGCATGTTAAGGCTGCTCTCGGTAGGCTACATGCCTTGTAGGCTCAGGAGCTGGCATCAGCTTTACTGCACCTGAGTGGACTGTGTGACCACTACCTTTGAAACTCAGTTAGAGACAGGTTCAACCCAAACCCTGGAGGATAAAAAATTCACAAACAATTTTCAGAACAGTTGTCTTTGTTTTGTTTATGGAACGGTTTTCACTGATTTCCACTGAAGAAGAGCCTTTCAGTTTAGAGTCTAGCTTGGATCCTATTTATTTGTGACCCTTCAAAGCTTGACTGTTATCTTAAGGGAAAGTACAGTTAACCCTCAAAGCAAAATACAGACGTGTGTATGTGTGTGGATGTATAATTGTTAAAGATGTTCTATAACTAGATGAAAATTGAATGCTTAGTACTGATCCTGTTCCTTGACTCGGTGTTTTCTTTCTTGTCTTTAGATTAAAATGTCCGTATTGTCCAATGGAACAAAGTCCAGGAGATGCCAAACAGATATTTTTCTGAAGAAATAACTTTAGTTTGCAACTTGTAAGTGAAACTGAATTGGGGGCGCATTTCAGAAGAGAGCGTTCCATTTAATGCAGCTAACCAAGGACTCTCGTGTTTATATAAGCTAATGCTCCAGAAACTTTGCCAACATTTTAGTGTATACACACTGAGGGGAGTGCTCCAGACGAATATTATCATAGGGCTTTATTATATTCTTGGTCTTCATTTCTGATCAAGTAAATACACCAGCAGTTGTCATTCAATGCAGGTTTTTGTACTTAATTATATGGTGATTTTTTTACTTTTTAAGAGCAGAAACAGAAATTGACCTCCCCATGTGTTTAATATTCCTCCTGCTTTTACTTTCGTCATTTCCTTGATAATTGTTAAGCATTAAGAATGTTTGTGAGAAAGCTTTATTTCCTGTTATGTATACATAATTAAATGAAAATTCTTCAGAAAAGTTTGAAAAACTGAATTGTGGTTATAAAACTAATTTCCTTTTTTTTTTGCTTAAGGAAGAAAGCTGTGGTAGATTCCAAATTTGCTTTTTGATGTTTTCCTCTGCTCCAGCTCTCACTGAGGAGTCAGCAGACTTGCGTTTGAGCTCTGCTTGTAGCCCCAGCGGGCTGCCTGTTTAAAATTCCATCATGAATTTAGCAGGTTGGTGTGAGAAGTTTCCGCCAGAACAGAGTGGAAGGAGTTCTATTGTTTCTTTGCTTTTATTGCCAAGAGGTGCTTATTTTAAAAGTGTGTTCAATAAAATGAAATTCTGAAGTTAGAAGTGTTCTTAAGTTGCTATTTGCTCTCTTGGTCTTGGTAGCCCTATTCTCTGAAATCTGCCTTCAGGACTTGGCTGTCTATTGCATTTGTATATCATTGCAGACACAGTGTTGTGTGTGTGTATATATACGTGCACCAGCATCAAACATTGTGTATCTGGAAGGGAAAAAGCATGTTCCAGTCCTAAAGTGCAGTTACCAGACTCATTACTTTAAATCTTTGAAGTTAGAAGCTAGCAAATTTTCTGTAGTGCAGAATATGTTTATTGCTGTTTTTTGTATTTGAATAGTATACTGTTCAATGCCTCTCTTCTGCAAAGTGTATCATCTCATTGACTGTGAATCTGTATGTTATTCTAATGGATACAGATGATGATCTTTTCTCTTGTGAGGTATCTTCGTTTAATGCACTGTCCAGAAATAGCCATTTGTAAGAGTCTTTCTCTGTGTGAGGAAGTATATGGAAAAGACTTCTGTGGACATAATTCTGACGTAAACCCATTAAGTTACTTCATTGTGAGAAGAATGTTATATGGAGATCACCAAATATTTTGCAACTTTATTTCATCTGACATGGAACTGAATATAAATGTAGGAAAACTACCATGAGAAAATGGAAAAAGAAGAAAACACAGAAGCAAAGAGAAACGTGACACTTCAGATTTTTAAACTACAGATTGACCTAGTTTGAGGGGGAGGGAGAGAACAGATTTGGTGCTAAGTTAATTGGAAACTGACGGCATTTGCAGTAGAATACCAGCCTGGACGGTTTATCCTGAAATGTTTACCCGGGACAGCTGGGATTTGCGTGTAAAGGAAAGGAGTACTGTGGAAAAGCCCTGCTCGATTGCTGTGTGTGGTCAGGCTTATGTTGAGGGCTACTGTGTGCTGTGTGGGTTAGCCGGGAGTCGGGATTGACCTGCCCAGAGTGCTCGCTTTGTCCAACCTCAGTCTTGGCCTCACAGCAACTTCTGCCCCATGTTTCTGCTTTCCTGTTGGAACCCTCTCCCCACTAAGGCAGTGAAGGAAGAGAGCAGAGAAAAGCTCCTTGGACTTCAAAAGAGAAGGTAAAGATCCCAGGCAGTACTCTGGCCGAGGATGTAAAGCTGGTTTATTATATATTTTTTCCTTGAATTAAAACCCAGAGTGTCATCTTTTTTTACCTTTTTCTCACTAGGCCAGATTTAGCTTTATTAACACCTTACTCTCACCTTTTCACCTTAAACACCTACATAACATTTTGGCTTCACGTGAGGTTTGAACAATACAGACATTGCTGTAGAGGCTGGTAGTTAATATTTTTGGTGGCCAGACGCTTCACATAGTTGGCTCAGGCCACTTTCAAGGACAAAAGCCAGTGCTCTGCTTTGTCCCTCTCCCAGTGTTGGAATCCTGTTGACAGTTTTCTGTGCAGCCCTGAAACTTTAAACAGAACTTGCTTTAACTGAAGCATTTGATTGTACAGCTTCCTGTGCAAGGTCCTTGCAGTCCCACTGGGCAAGATTAGGGCCAAAAATTTCGCAACTCTTGATCTGACACTTTCACAAATGTGAAAACTAGTGACCTTCTTTAAACGCATGGACTTAAAAATCATTGGTAACTAAATGTGAAGGAGAGGTGGATTTGAAGAGGCCAGACCTCAACCAAAGATGCTACATACAACGTGCTGTCCATCCTACTCTAGAAACACCTTCACCAGTGGTGTCAGGCCCGGGTCATCGCTGAGGCTGTGTATGTCAGCAGTGTGGAAGGATGCTCCCCATCGCGGTTTCCACTTGCAAGAGGTCATGATAGAGCCAAGGTTTTTTCAGTCAGACTAATTATCATATTGAAAACAGAATTTCAGAATGGTTTCTTAAATTTCTTTAGGAACCATTTCCATTTATCAGTTGTGGACAAAGGCCATGGGACTATGCTAGACCAATAAAACCTTATTGTTAGATCCTTAGATTCTTATTAGCTAGAGCATCTGTGCTTTCAAGTACAATCTGAAGAACAGTGGCTAAGGATGTCTTGATATTTTTTCTCCTTTGTGAATGAATCTGTGATCATCACAGATGCCATTTCTGTTGTTTTAGTGGTGATTATCTGAGACTTCTAATAAATAAATGAACGGGTATTGGTGCCTCTTGATTTTAAAAATTTTGAAAAGAGCCACCGCATATTCATAGGGTGTGTGAGTATTTTGTGAGTGTATGAGCATTTAATTGAAAATAAGAAAGTTATGAAGTAAATCTTTTGTTTTGATGTTTTTCAGTAGCAGCTGATGTATACAGTGACACTAAAACCCACACCAAATTGTGTGGGGAACGAGGATCCTTCTTTCTCTCCAGGTGTCCCACAGGTCATGCAGTTGAACTTCAGTAATCCCTGTGCTGTGAGTTATTGCCACCTCAGTGGTTTCAGCCTTTGGTATAGTAAATACTGCGGAAACCAAGAACTCTTGGTTATCCGCACAAGACAGGCTGCTGGTAGACATTAGTCCTCTAGCTTTCCAACTCAACCTCTGATTAAGTGGACTGATAGTCAAGCTGGTCAGTCTGCTTAGTCAGCAGACTCAGGTTATTTTCAGGGAAGGCACGGAGGCATGGTTTGATTAATTTCATCACTGGGATGTGTAAGATGAAGACACAAACCAAATACCTTTCATTACTTTGTACATTATCTTTGGTAACACTAGAATGCTGTGGTCTTGAGGGAACATTAGCAAGGAATACGTAGAAGGTTTGGCGCTTCCTAAGCCTGTCCAGCTGTGGCGGGATTTACGTGGTACCATAGTGTTTACCATAAGCAGGTACATGAACTGTCTTGTTGAACTATAATTGAATAGATACCAAAAATAGAATGACAAATGTATTTTAATAGCAGATGAGGCAATTAGTTTTAGGATGAGTTTTCCACTGTTGATTTTACTTTAAGACATAGGGAGAGAAAACAAAGTTCTGTTTTCCAAACATTTCCCTCTACAGTTTTAGACTGCAGTGGGCATATGCTTCATTTACTTCCAAAGAGGCAAAAGCAGCTGGTTTTGGCTCATAGCACATGCTTTGTTTCGTGTCGTGGATGAAGACCTACACTCTTACGTTAGCAGTCACTTAACATTCTCCAGCAAGGCACATGTGGGCTTCCCTAGGATTTAGTGCCTGATCTTTTCTTTTGGGAAGGGGTGGGAGTGAATGTATTGGGGATGGGAGGGAAGCGGGGGAAGAAAATGGGAGCGTGAGTGAGTGTGCATGTGTGTGAAATTCACCATTACCCCACCTGTGTCTAGCAAGGAACAGAGACTTAAATGTATTTTGCTCATGACTGCAGTATGCATGTATTTTTTTTTCTCCTCCATGTTTTCTAAACTTACACTAAAAGGACTCATCAAATCATCTTGTTCAGATGGCTCAGGATTGTATTTCTTTTGCTTACCCTGTGCTCTTGGGTTCTATAGTATTTCTATAATTATGTAACAAGAATAGTGTTGCACTGTAATCTATCATAGAGCTATATGTATGGAAAATTTTGATCAGTTTTTTAAGAAATGTATCCTGTTTGCAAAGGCACAATAAAGTTGCATCTTATAGACTATAGGCAATAAAGCTAACAATAAACCTTATTTAACACAAACCATATTCATATTCTCTGTTCATTTGATTGTGGAAAAAGTCTAACACATCCAGTAGTTTCAGGGATTTCATTTTAACTTAAAAAGTTCAAATATATTTAATTTATAAATTTCGGACTGATATAATAGAGTTTTGGAAAACTATAAGAAATGCTTTGTTAATGTGTGTATTCCTATGTAAAACACATGGCTTCTCCTGTGTGTATATTTTTAAAAATTAAAGAAATGCACATTTAAAAAGTGTTTTGTGGAACCAATCTGTATAAATGTGACAGGTGACAGGTGTGAGGGAGGGAGTAGGGGGATGCCAATTATGGGAAGAGAACATTGTTTTCTGTGTTGCTAAGGGTCTGCGTATAAAGAATTTAAGAAAATATCTTTGTCACCATCTCATCCTGTTTCTGTGTCACCAGCAGTGTGAGAAGAGGAGGTAGCTGGGCACCCTTCCTGGTTTCTAAGGAGGGGACTGTTAGTGTTTCCAGGCTCCTGTGCCCTGACGCCCGTCCTGTGGATGGCTGGGACCCTCAGACCAGAGTGACGGTGTATGACTGGGAAGAGGAGCCCTGAAACAGCTCCACCCAGGCTGCTGGTGGAGTGGGCTGTGGACACTCAGCATTGCCAGGGAGGAACAGAGGCTGAATTGTCTGTCCTACTCAATGACAAGCTAAGCTGGTAGGAACTAAGAATCTGTGTTTCTTTTTTATATATTCTTTTAGAGAGAAACTCATTCTTATCTGAGGTTTTAGAATGTTTCCTACCTATGGGAACCATTGTGGGTCCTCAGTGTGGGTCCCCACCCAGTTGCATTTGGAGCTAGTGACCCATGTGGCGTAGATGAGGCCTGGCAGGCCAGGCCAGAGATCTCATCCCCTACCTAGCGCTAGGGGCTCTCCGGGACCCAGGGTGCTCACTAGCAGTGTGGGCCCCACCTGAGAGCCTGTGAGAAATGCAGACCCTCAGGCCTCAGCCCTCACCTGTTGAGTCAGAATCTGCATGCTCAGGAGCAAACTGGCTTTGCTCACAGGGAGCCTCGTGGATGCTCCCCCTTTCAGGAAGTGTATCCTTCCTCTTAAATGTGTCAGATGCGGATGGAGGGTACTCAGCAAAACTTCCCCGTTTCTTGATGAGTAAGTCCTGAGTCATCAAGAAAAGTTAAATTTACTGTGCTTTGAACTCTGTTTTAGTGCAGTTATTTTAAAAATCAGTGCATTTCTTTAAGCATTCAGGTAATCGAGGGAGTGTTGTATTGTGGCGTGGTGTGGCAAAAGGCATTTTCCACTCCCTCCCAACCAAAACGGGGAGGGATGAGCACCAAAGATGCAAAACAGCGGATTTGTGTCAGGACAAAATAAAGACTGAAAAGGAACCTTTAGACAAAGCAGTCATCAGATGTCCCCTGCCCCCAGCCGGACGTAGGGAAGCTTGATGGTAAACAGTGGCCCAGCAAACAGAAATGGCACTTCCCAGGGGGCACACTTTCCTAACTTTTTTTTCCTGGCACCCAGTAAGAAATAAATTTAATGTAATAACCCTCTATACACACAAAGTGTATAGTTCTGAAATAAGTTTTACGGAATTGTTTAATGCTCATAATGTGTGACCCACTCTGATATTTTCTGTTTCTTTTATTATTTCTTTAATGCTCATCAAGACTGAATTGATTTCATGACCTGCTAATGGGTCGAGATTTGCCTTGCATTAAGGGACAATGATGCAATGATCCATTCACAAAGCTACTTTGAAATCTCTGTCAATATATGTATGCTAGAAAGTATTTTATTTTTCTTTTTCCGAAAAAGCATTTTCTTTCAGTGGGGTGTTTCTTTTACTCCTGTGAGTATTCTTTGCTGCCAAATAGGGTAATATATCTACACGTTAGAAGTATTGTCTAAGTAGGAGCTCCTATGTGTCAGGAAATTTTGAGTTTCCTTAGCTATGCTTTCTTCCAGCTTAGAAAAGTGCAAAGTGCTTCATGCTAAATATTGGCTTGTGCAATAGAATCCTTTGTTTTAATAACATAAACAGATGTATCTATGTTAAAGGCAGAAAATATTTAACATATCGTAGTATGGCACTTTCAGTCATTCAACACGGGGTTTTTTTAAGTGCCGGGCACTGAGAGAGAACAGGATCCTTGGCCTCCTGGAGCTTACAGACCACTGGAAGAAAAGTGGGGAACGAAGACCGTGTAGCGAGGTTAATTCCCACCAGTGACCTAACTACTGGAGGATAATGGGAGGGAAGAGAAGGGAGATTGTGTAAGATTATGTGAGAGAAGAGAGGTGAGTTGTGTATTTTTAAGGCCCACTCTGGCTTTAGTGGGATGAAAGGTGGTTGGGGAGGGGATTAGGCTGGAGGCGGGGAAGCCGGTACAGTAGCTATTATGGGTGTGTTAGTATTTGTTGAGCATTGATCTTGTGCCAGGTGCTTTTGTAGGTGCTGGAGATAGAGTGGTGAACAAGACAGAAAATACAGCAAAATGATGTTTTTGTCACACAAAGTTTGTGCTCTGAATGCTTTTGTAGTTTAGAGAGGCCTTAAGGTGTTCTTGTCACTTGAGTGATGCACATCCTTGCTCTGGTATTCTAAAATATATCCCCATTTCTTTCTATTGTCCACATTTTCTCGGAGGGTGAATTTCTAGCTTCACCATGCTCTCCTTACGTATATTGGTCTCGTCCACCGTGTGAATTGTGTAATGTTCTGCCAATTTCCCGTTGGGATTGGTCGTCTTACTCCATTTGAAGACTCCGTTCAGCCACCATGCAAGCACTGCCATTCCAATGAAGGACTCGGGTGTCGTTTCCCCTCTAAAGCAGAAACGTTCCTTAAAAGGAAACATGGTATTTGTCAGCGTTCAGGACTCATCATTTCAGGAGCTTTCTCATTCATTTTGGGGTCTTTCCCCTCCTGGACAGATTAGAAATGCATTTTAGGTTACTTTCATTCTTAAGCACAAGACCCTGTTGCTTTTGGTTATTTTAGATTAATGAGCTGCTGATCTCCCCTGAAGAGGACTTTCACGGGAAATGATCGAATTGTCATGAAAGCTTTCAGAGGTGGCTCGGAATGTGGGCTGGGGGCCTTTGACTTGGCTAGTGTGCACCAGTGAGCAGCGTGTGTGGAGAAGGCTGTGTAGGGTTTGTGTGGTGGCTTTATGCCATCAGGGACCCAGCCTCCCGTCTTTCTACCCCACAGCCTTAACATGTGGCCTCAGTATCACCTCAGTGTCTAATCATAACTGTGTTTCGGACAGGGAGGAGGTGGAAGGGAGTAGGAAGAGAGCAAGCTCCCATTTGAGTAACCCCTTTGAAGAGTCTTTTCTGGAAGCTCCTCCTAGTAACTTATTAGCCACACTTGAGTGCAAGGACATCTGGGAAATGTAGTCTTAGCTGGGCACATTGCCACCTGTAACAAAATGAGGGTTCTGTTAGGAAGAAGAGGAGAGTGGTTGTTAAGAAAGCAACTTGCAGTCTCTGCCACACTTAACTGTATTTCACCCAGGAAACCAATGAAATTTCGTTTGTGTAGCAGAATTAAGCCGTCAGCACCAGCAGTTGGTGCGACCTTCCACCTGCCTTGAGATACTCAACAAAGAGTTGGCTGTCACTGACATACCTCTAGGTGCATTTGTTAGACCCTGGTGGTATTTGTGGTATTTGCACTAACTTCAGACACAACCCTTGCTCTACTCTTGTTCTAGAACATTCTCCTTCCCATTTGTTTCATTTCAGAGCAGGTGGCGACCTTTGTTTTTGATCTTAGGCTGTGTAGGTAGAAAGTACCTTTGGTTTTGAGGTGCTTATAGATTTTTAGAGAATTTAAAAATTGTATTCATCTGATTTTGAAATTTGCAAAAGACTGCAGAGTATTCAATACAGCAGAGCCTGTTAAGATTTTGGGTTGTGGGATTAGACCTGAGTCTAATTGTGTGATTTGGGGCAACTGATAGAAACCTCTGTGCCTTAGTTTCCTCATCTGTAAAGTAGAATGATATTAGTTCTACCTCATAGTTTTGATGAAGCTTAAATGAGATACCTGCCTGTGGTGAGTGCCAAATAACTGGTGTTTTACTGTCAGAAAAACATAAGGCAGATGACCTCTGCAGGTCACAGCCAGCTAAGGGAGAGCAGGAAAGAGGAGCGAGTAACTGGCAGGCACAGATGAGATACGCCCAAAGGGATAGGGGATTCAGTAGGTGCTGAGATGGCACAGTGGGTCAGCACATGCTTTTCCTACTCTGGCAGCCTCCTCCACCTGCTCTAGACATGGTAGAGCTCTGTGCAATGGATAGACAGCCCTGAGCAGCACAGCGGGTGGTGATGGAATGCGAGGCTGAGGGGAGCTTCAGGTGAGACAGTGCCGAGGGCCGCACCTGTCTGGGACTGAGCTCCTGTGAGATGTTTGGGAAGGGTTGCCCTCCCACACACTGGGGCGCTGAGATCCCTGGGTAAGATAATAACGCGTGTATCCATCGGGGATGGTTACTGTGTACCCCTCTTTGAGAATACAAATAGGCAGACTCAGACACATGTGGCTGCATTTAAAGCGTAATTAGTACAACACTGGTTTTGAAAAACTCAGTACAAGGTCATTTTTTCAGCATATATTTATTTGTTACTTTACCATGTTCCAGGAGCTATTCTAGCCACTTGGGGAAAAAAATATGTAAACTCATACATTCCTCCCAACAACCCTTTGAGGTGGAAACTATTATTGCCCTCGTTTTACAGGTAGGGAAACAGGTATTGAGACATGAAGTCACTTGCCAGAGAACACACTTACTGAGTAGCAGAGCCAGTGTTTAACCGAATCTAAGGCAGTCCTGGCCTCCTTTAGTTCCCTTTGATGGAGAGACGCTGCTCCAGCCTGCTTTTAGGAGCAGGGTAAGTGGTGCCTGCCCCAGGTGGTCGTAAAATTGTGTGCCGGGAAGGATTTGCACACGGCCCAGGGCAGGAGGGAGGGGCAGCTTCCTGCTGTAGCAAACGGAGATTTCTCCCTGACTTGCTGCTCGAAGAGTCACTCAAGATTTCCGAGGGTAGGGTGAGTTCTCTTGAGAGCGGTTTAACAGCTGGAGAAAACACCGACAAACTTCTCTGTTTTTTTCCTTCCACAAATAGGATATGTTTTGTTAAATGAGTGAATGTTTGTTACATGAACCACACCGAGGCTGGATTCCAGCCAGCTGATACCAAATTTATGGCATGATGGAGAGGTAATTTCTCTACTAACTGTTTTTC